AAAGTCTCTCTTCCATTTCCCTCAGAGCTAAAGAATTCACAGAAACCGATCTACCCAACAGGAGTAAATGAGGGGTTTACCCTTCAGATCCTGTCATTTTTTTTATTTCTCAAAACCCAGTTAAACGATATCAGATCAAAGATTCTTTTTTTCCTTTTCCCTTCGTGGTCTTTTCCTCCTGGCCTTGGAGACTACAGAAACCATTTTAGAAAACGAGGAAAGGCGCAAGGTTCTGAGGCAAGCAGGACTAGAACCCGGGGCCTCCCATTTTCTAACCTTTCCCCATGACCCCAAACAGACTCTTGATCCAGTCAGTTATCCTTACCAAGCTTGTCGTGCAAAATGCAAAACCATAACCTATTTTTTTTAGAAAGCCGACTGCTGGAGGAGACGAGCTGGACGTAGCCGTGGGACCCACAATCCACCAGAAGATTTTGGGTACGGGCGGGAGGGACTTGCCCTGGCCTCAATGAGCAATTCCTGAGGGCTGTTTTCCTAAAAGCAGAGGAGGTCTCACTGCGGAGAGACCACTGGAGTGACGTGGCATTCTGCCCAGGCATTCCAATTTAGCTCTATTGATTTATACAGACTTTCCAATTACTGAATTCTCCACAGCGGCCATTGGCGGAGTCGCAAGCCGTATACGACTCTGGTCTTTTATAGGGTCTCTCCATGCTTGAGGAAAGGGCTGGCTCCCTAGAAGAAGGGGTCCCCTTCATTCCCACCCCTTCTTTTGCTGGAAGAAACAGGCACACTAAATGCTCGCTGCTTCGCCTTTTGGATCCCATGGGAGCCGCTTGTTGAAAGCATTTGGGGAGGGGTGGGGGGCTCCACAGATACACCTTTCAACCACAATGCAAATTATTTTTGCAGAGTTTCACATCTTCTGCTGAGGATGAGAAAACCGCTGAGGGTTTGAATAGAAATGGAGTAGCTGGGAATTAGGGAAGAAGCAGAAGGCTGGTGGGGGTGACAGGAGGAGAATATTTAATGCAATTAAAGTTTTAAATTCTGTGGTAGAATGACATCCGTGTTAGCTCTGCAGGGAGAGCCAGAGCTGTGATGTACCAAATTTGTTAATTGGTGCTACCTGGTCCTCTTACAAGCCTCCGACACCCCTGGAGTGCAGAGGTGTTGTTTAGCCATTGTTTACTCTGGAGGAGAAAACGCCCGAGAAGATGTTGGCTGGCATTTACAAATATTGTAGTTTTGTCCAAGGGGAGCTTGAGAGCAGAGACGATGACAGGGAAGGAGCCAAGAAGCAAAGCCAAAGAATTACACCATCTCATCCAACCGTCAATAATTAGCTTCTCAGGATGTCAGGATTTGAACAAAGAACCTTAAGGTTTGTGTGGGAAGTGCTGGACCGCTTGTAACATCTTACCTAGACAGCCATGGGCCTCCTGGTTCGATGCTAGCTCCACTCCATCCAGGTGGATCATGGCAAGAGTTCCTCTTGAACAGACTTCAGGAGATATTGCCTCCTCCATTGTGTCTACCCCTTGGTATATGGCCTTACTAAGTTGCAATGTCACTCTCAATCTTGATTTTGATTCCCTGCCAATCCATAGTGTGGTTACTCTCTTATTCCCAGCCTTTTGGCTGCAGTTGGGACCTGTCCTTGGCCAAAGCCCTCCGTGGCGCTAGAAGGCTTGGTGGAACTCAAGAGGAGCTGAGCCTGATTTCATGTGTTACTTGAAATCACATTGATGTCTCCAAAATAGGAGTGGAGCATCCAAAGACAGGAAGACCAAGAGAGGGGTTGGTCCTGCAGAAGAGCACCTGGAAGTGTCCCAGGAGGCTAGCGGTAAAGTCCCATCCCAAGAAGGACATTCATAGGAAGCTTCCAAGAAGTCTTCGCCAACTGGATCAGGAAGGGGGAATTTGGCAACGGCATTCCATCCTGTCTGGAGACCACCAAGATAGAGGAAAATGACTCCAATTCTTCTGGAAAGGCCACGTTGATCTCCTCTGCACCTTTGGATGCTGGAATTGGCGCTACCAAAGAGAGCAGGATTTTTAAATGAGAACTCTCTTCTACCCAGGTTACAAAAAAAAGCTTTGAAGAATCAATACAATGTTTCTCAACCGAGATTGAGAAAAACTGAGCCAATACAATTTATAAGGAGGTTCACCAATGCACAGTGAGACAAAATCCGTTATCTCTGCTGCTTCGTAATACCCCTTCTCCAGGTCCCGCTCCCTCCACCTGTGCAGAAAAGGGAACAGGGGAGTCAAATAAATCCCCCAGCCTCTTTCTCAAACCCTAACCCTCACCATCAAAGCCACATTCCCCCCCCCCAGAGTGTCAATCCTCCTTAACCATCCTTGGAAAAGGAGGGGAAGGGCGGGGAGACCCCTGCACGCGCCTGCAAAGGAGGTAATTTGATGTTTGGCTACCAGCAACCCTGTTGCAGTATTAATAATGTTTGGGTGTAAAATTACCGCGTTTTGAAATTTCATTACATCTTTGTGTCACGGGGCATAAAGCAGAGGAAAACCTAATTAAATTACCTAAAATTATTGCCTTTGCTTCTTGCCAGGGGAGACGGGGAGAAAAAGCACAACAGGATATGGCATGTGATTGTGCTTTTGTTCCTTTTGGTGTGTGTGAGAGGATCTCTTGGGATTGACTGTGTGAATGTCGCTAGATGTAAAAGTGTTTTTAATTGCATGGGTTATGTGGATGTGGAATCGTCTGGCAAGGAACTGTGTCAGTCTCTGTTTTAAAGGCAGAGGCCCCCAAAGGCAGGCTGAGGGGCCCCTCTGGTCACCCCAACTGGTCACCTCAAAATCCCTGGAAAAGAACTTGCTGGTTTCAAGGACTTTCCTCTGGGGATTTAGGGGAGAGATTTCTATTCCATAGCCTTAGTCAGAATTATCCTGGTAAAACTTTCACCAAACAATAAGTATATGTGTATTTTTCTTGTATTTTTAAGATGAAAATTGCACTGCCAAACTGCATGGCAAGGATAATTTTATTCTGATTTATGTGTAGATTCAGGTGGAAAGTCAAATTGGCTGATTGTAAAATGCTCAAAATCAGCAAGATTTTTTTACAAAGTTCTAAACAAATTTCCTTCCTTCCCTCCCTCCCTCCCTCCCTCCCTTTCCTCCATCCCTCCCTCCTTCCCTCCTTCCTTCCTTCCTTCCCTTCCTCTCTCCCTTCATTTATTTCCCCAGCCCTCCCTTTCAATTGCAACCCTTGGAAGAAGCCAGATGTGTGGGGTGGGGGTGGGGGAGAGTGGACATCAATCCCAGGCCCCACCTGGGCGAGGAGGACAACCAGCCAACGTGACTTGACTTTGGTGAATGGCCTTTCCCGGGAGTCCGGATGGAGAGTCGTAAATCACACCACTGAGTTTATAGAGCCTTTATGTACCCTGCGGTAGGCAGAATAAGAGGAGAAAAATCATCTGGAGCCCCCAGGGCAGATTAATCATTGCTTGCCAGGGAAGTGAAATGAACCCTGGATCTTCCTACTTTCTCCTGCCCCTCCCCCCCATTCCATCAGGCAGGCTATATTGGCTGGGGCATTCTGGGAATTGAAGTCCAGATCTCCTAAAGTTGCTAAGGTTGTATGGTTCTTCTCTTTTACTGGGGATTTTTCCAGATGAGGCCATGAATTTAGATTTGGCTTCTGTGCCTTGGGCATAAATCAGGAGTGAAATCCAGCAGGTTCTGGAAAACTGGTAGCGGAAATTTTGAGCAGTTTGGAGAACCTGCAAATACCACCTCTGGCTGGCCCCAGATTGGGGTGGGAATGGAGATTTTGCAGTATTCTTCCTCTGCCACACCCACCAAGCCACGCCCACAGAACCAGTGGTAAAAAAAGTTTGGATTTCACCACTGGCATAAATGCACCTGGTTGCACAAGAAGGGTGCTGTGAAGAGCATCAGCGATGAAGAGAGAAAATTGGGGTGCATTCAGCAGGGGAAACACCACACCCACACTCCTGATTGGAGGAGCAAAGTTCTAGTTTGCTTCTGAAATTCGAATGAAACGTCCTGTGCTTCAAGATGCATCATTAAGTGTGTGAGAGGGAATCCGCACCCAGAACTTTTTCAGATCCTCCCTGACCTGAGACCCCCAATTTATAGATAGTGGGACTCCTGGGAATTGTAGTCCTGAAGCCTTTGAGGATACAACCCCCTTCCCCTTCCCCAAGGCTCTGAAATATAATCAGCCTTTTGAATGTCTCTCGCTTTTGCTTTGTAGGACAGAAGGATGCATCTAAAAAACACTTTGAAGGGAGGAGATTTATGGTAATAAATTCCAGTAACCAAAAGATAGGACAATATATTTAAAAATCTCTGAATATTTATGGGACGCTGCTCAGTGTGTTTTCTCTTCCATGCTTATGCTGGTGCCTCAGGTGACAATGTGTTTGTTATTCCCCATTCATCACGATGAGCCCACGGGGGGGCGCAGGGGGCGGGCGCCTGGGAGTTGAGGGTAATTGATGGCAGCATTCAGAAATGGGGATGTTTTAATTCGGTAGGGAAAAATTAGAATACCACTGTACAAAAACAATGGGGGTGGGGTGGAGGGGGGGAAGAGAGGCAGTCTTTCTCAACCTTATCAATGTTAAGATGGGTGGACTTCAACTCCCAGAATTCCCCAGCCTGGATATACGTATGTATGTATAGATAGATTAGATAGATAGATAGATAGATAGATAGATAGATAGATAGATAGATAGATCCATCCATCCATCCATCCATCCATCCATCCACATAGGGACTTCAGAGACTGAGAGCAGCTGTTACAGTTCAGTTTTTTGTGTGCTGCCTCTACCTCTCAACTTGAGAATGTGATTGTTATTTTAATGGCTTCACCCAGCCTCTGCCTCGCACGTCTCGACTTGATTCCTAGCTTGTTTTGCTGGTTGAGCTTCTTTTTCTAGGTCAGCAGTTGCAACAGTCCTTCTGCCTCTGTTCCCCCGTCCTTCTTCGCTCCCCGGCTCTGTCAGATCAGCAAAAGGCCTTTCTCAATTCTGGCAAGTGGACGGTCTGTCTGTTAGGTTAATTTCTTCTAGGGAGAGCCAATTCTCACGGCGTTTCCATTTTGATCAGGTAGGCTTCAGAGGTTGGCTTGGCACCAACAATCACCTGGCAGACATCCTTGGTTAGGAATTTGCAAGAAGAACTTGGCTGAGCCAAAAAGGCTTCCAGCTCCACCTGGCCAGCTTTGGTCTTTAGGAAGTAGATGAGGGAGCAACCTTGAACCCTCTTTCATGAGGCCAATTCACAGACAGGAAAGCCCTCGAGGCAACCTTTTTCCCTACCATCTTCAGAAGGAGAAGGATGCAGCTGAACTCCGGAAGAATTGCTTAATCCGATGAAGAACTTCTTCCAGAGGTCAACTTGAAATTAGCCCTGATTGCCTAGTGCAGGTGTCAGCAACCTGAAGCTCCGGAGCCGCATGTGGCTCTTTGGGCCCTCTGCTGTGGCTCCCTGTCAGGTGATCCCACCACTGGCTGGCTCCGCCCCTCATCCTCCCCTCCCAGTCACTCCCCGCTTGGCCTGAGAAGGTAAGAGCAATGGCGCGGGATGGAGAAGCAGGCGGGGTAGAGACAGAGAGATACAGAGAGAGGGGGAGAGAGAGAGACATAGAGCGATACAGAGAGGGAGGGGAGAGAGAGGGAGGGAGGGAGGGAAGGAGAGAGAGAGAGAGAGAGAGAGAGAGAGAGATATGTCAAAAGGGTTTTGTGGTTCCCGGTGTTTTTTAACAACTGGTTCTCTGTCCTAAAGACCGACTGGGTAGGTGTGGCTGGGGGTCATGTGACTGGTGGAAGTGAGTGACGTCGAGTTGGCCACACCCACCCAGATTTTGTGGCTCCCGGTGTTTTCTTTTCTGTGGGAAACGGGTCCAAATGGCTCTTTGAGTGTTTAAGGTTGCAGACCGCTGGCCTAGTGAGTATGGAGGTGGGGTTTTCATGGAGGTCTTAAGGTTAGTCGTTTGATTGAGTCTTTGGTGTTCCTAGGACAATCTTTCTCAACCCAGGCAACTTTCAGAGGATGGATTTCAACTCCCAGAATTCCCCAGCTGATCATGGGGAAATTGCAAAATTCAGTACTTGACCATACAGCCTGGAGTCCAACGCAGGAGAAGTCAATACAATGACTCAGGGGTTTCGAGTTGGCTGCAGATTAGCACTTCCTATTCTGGGTTTCTTTGGAGAATGATGGATGCTTAGTGCCAGTGGGACTATCATGCCTGCAGCCAGGGGCTCTTTGCCCTAAATCAGGGTGCTCCAAAGTTGGCAACTTTAAGACTTGTGGACTTTGACTGGAGAATTCTGGGAGCTGAAGTGCACAAGTCTTAAAGTTGCCAACTTTGGGAGAACCCTAAATAAATAATGTTGCTCCAATCAGGTGAAAGCCCGCAACTCCTGTCCCATAACCCAGCATCTCCTTCAGCATTGGGAGGACACCAAGGCTGGAGGCCACCTGGTGAAGTTCCTGAGCAACCCACAAAGGACAATCTGATTGTGAAATCTTGGAGAGAAGAGATGTGCCGGCCTTGAGGTGCGTGGGCGAGAACCTTGTGCAAAAGCATTTTGCACGGAAGAGCTGCTGGCCTCTCCAGCTGTCCATGGCTGAAAATGTCAGGATTTCCCAGCCAAGTGTTTGCAAAGGAAAAAAAGGAGCTGGGGAAGAGAGCCTCACCTCCAGTTAGCTCCCAGGAACCTTCAGGAATAAGAACTTTAGAGAGCCTCCTAGAAACTTGCTTGAAGTTGGCCTAGCTTTATTTCTCTACCCGTTGATAGAGACGCACCTTTCTTGACAAGGGCACCCTTCCTCCGAAACTCTCTTCCTGGCTACCCTCTTTCTGCTTCTGATGAATGAGCAGGATCTCCACCTGCTTTGAAATCTTGTCATCTCCCATCTTCAAAGGTCCTGTGATTTCCTAAGCGCAGCCTCGAGTGTAATTCTTTTGCATGAAAAAATATCTGGCAGAGAAGGGCCTGGAATGAAGCAACTGCTGCTCAGCCCTTCAGCCTTGGCTGGCGGAGGAGGAGAAGATGGCCACACCCTCTCCTCTTCCAGCTGCGGAGCTGAGTGAAGAAATTCCTGCTCAAATGTGGTGAGCGCCTGGGACGGCTTGTCTTCGGCTTCTTTCCCTCGCCTCTTTTCGCATCGCTGCCGTGTCGAAGCTTCGAGGACCTCTTGTCTCTCGAAGAACCTGCCTCGTGGTCCGTCTGCACTTCCAGGAGATCTGGTGGTCTTTCTCCAGGCTGCCCCTTCCGATGAAGGATGGTGTCCTTTGCTGAGTTGGCGGCGAGAACCTGCAACCCTCACCCAGACTGAAACGCCACAGGCAGTTGGAGAAATTTGGCGCCATTTCTCCTTCTGAAGGGGATGAAAAGTGCTTTCGGTGAAGCGGAAGAGGCTGGAAGGTGACTTGACTGAGCCAAAGGTATTTTCTCCTCTCGTGGGAAGAAAAAACCCCACCTATTTTGCACTGGTCAGCTTTTATACCCAGACTTGCAGAACCTGAACTGTGAGACAAAATGCAGGTAGCCTGCAAAATTTGAGCTTCTTGCTATTTTGCAAGGCTAAAAATGCTCAGCGTATTTGGTCTCCTTAGGAGTTGAGCATCCTTAGGATAGCTACAAAACTCTTCTCAATCTTTGAATACGTCTTATAGCTCACAGAGGAGGACCGTACTGGGAGGAGAATTTCCTGGGTTGCAGACAAGCAGCTTGACCTCAAGTAGACAATCTTGGAGCGTCTCAACCTTTAACTTGAATCCCTGGTTCTCCTTTTTCTCCTTTCCCAGAATCAAACCCTTAGACAGTAGCCTCGTAAGCACATTTTTCTCCTCTTTGAAAGTTCAGGATGGTTGTGAAACAGTTGGGCAAGAAGTCTATAAATGGGATGGAGACATTGAGAATTATATTGAGAGTCTAAAGTCAAATTAAACCAGCATTGCAATTAAACCAACCAACCAAGCCTTCAGCATTTAAGTATATGTAAATAGTAGCTCCTCTCTCCCCTCCAACATAGCTGAGAATCTCCATCAGATATGATGGCAATGACAAAGAAACCGACTTTCAGAATTTCTCCTTGGAGAATGCGGCTGCTGGCCTCTCTTTTGTGGACTTCCCGAATAGGTCAAATTAGGCGGATCTGGATCCAGTTGAGGCCAGATAGCCTTGAGGTCGTCTGATCTTAAGGGACTCCACTGCTTGATCGACACCTTTCTTTTACCATCTGCTTCTTGCCAGTTTGGTGATTTTGTTCTCTTCTCTGACCAAGTCAGTGGAGGAAATTAATTCTCTCTGTTGCAGAAACAGGTGTCCTGGTCAGCCATGAGATGATGGTGGATGTGGTCAGGCTTAATTCCTCCAAGAATTCCAAATTGGCTTCACATGCTGGTCAGGTTTCTGGCCAAACAGATGTTGATGTTAGGCTACTCCTGGTGTCTTAATGGGGTCTGAAAGCTCTAGAGATGGAAAAACTGGGGTGAATTCCTGTCTGTTCTCTACCTCTCATGCATTAGAAGCAAAAAGGAACTGTGAAGCTTGTTTGTGTTCTGCTTTGTGTCTCTTTCAGGAAGAGAAAGACGGTTTTAATGCTGCATTAACGTTCTTAGTCCTGTTCTTAGTGCATGGGATAACCAGAGAATTCATAGGTTAACAAATTAGGTTAAGTTATTTGCATAGCACGTTAACCCTCCCCTGACCCTACTAAGCATGTTTGTGAACAGAAAACCCCCCAGTCTCAAAATAACAGCCAGATGCTCTGTTTAAGTTTTTTTTTAAAAAATCTAGCATGTTCTAGTAGTTTTACAATTGGTTGCTTTGTCCCCCTTTCGTGGCTGAGTTGGTAGTTTTTGTCTGAACCCGGGAGAATTTCACCCCTGTTTGACTTGAGAATTGGACAAGTTTGTCATCTCTCCTTCAGGCAGAGTGAAAGGGGGGCTGTTTTGCCTTCTAGTGGGAAATCATGGCTTATTCATGGACCAGGAACCATCTCCATCACTCCTCACTCCGCCTATGGGAGAAATCGGGCCCGTCCATTTGGGCTGACCTGTTCCAAACCAGAGTTTTGAAAACCAGACTTGAATGACTGTTGAAATGGAGAATGGAAGGTCCTGAGGATGCTTAGAGGTACTGGCTGAACTCCCACAAGACTCTCAACTAAACCATCTTGGAGATTTGCATGGCTTCTGGAACCTCAGGCTAGCTTAGATTAGCACAATAGGCTGTGATCCAGAAGATAAGCTATGTTTCAAACCAGCCATGTTTTGCAGAGTCTTCTGCTTTTATGCAACCGGTTCAAAGAGCTGTATGGACTCTGCCCCCCGGCCCCACTAATGGAGTGAAACCAATTTTGCACCGAGAAACCACTCACCCTTTCATTAATTCATTGTGGGCAACACGACAGAAGGTTGCTGTGTACCTTTGGATTGGAAAAGATCCATTTTATGGCTAAGGACAAACATTTCCTTCCTGCTTATCAGCCTTAATCCCCTCTCCTACAGTGTGCTACACACACACACACACACATGCAAGAAAAGATGGAATAACTAGAGGGAAATAATTCACTCTGGTTTTCTTAGGAAACTTGCTGATTTGGGGGTCTCTTTTGCAAAATCAAAAGTTCCTTGGGCTTTTTTGCTCACCTCTGGCCAAACGGCAAATAATTCTGCAGCAAAATGGACTTTATTCTTTTAATCTTGGCTTCAGGGATTTGGAGCCCATGAAAAAGATTGCAAACAATCACACGCTATCAGGCGCCCCGTTTGAGACAATCATAATACTGTTAATGCAACACTTTGTAGTGGCAGCTGCTTTTCCAGCAGCCCCAGGTCGTGATGTGAGCACTTCAGGAATTTATCTGGTGTAGATAAGGAAGGAAGGCCAAGAGGGACAAGTGATTAAGTTCACACATTGCTCAAATCACCGCTTAACCACGACGGTTTGAAAAAGTCACAAGGGAACCACAAAACTAATCCTCAGACCACAGTGCTCGGTTAGCCGCAATGGACCGGACTCCAGCCCAACCCAGCCTGATAAGAAGTCTTAAATTCTAGGGCAATGGGCAGCAGAGCCAGCGAAATATTGATCTGAATATGGGTGTTTTCCAGGTGACATTCAGTGATTTTATTAACAGCTCTCTGGATTGCCTCACATTCCTCCCAGCTCCATATGGACGGTCAGCACTATGAAAAAGAGAAGAGTGGTGGGGAATTTCCTCTGCAGAAGTGGTTTTTTTTAAAGAAATATTTTTGTAATGGATTAAGCAAAAGGAAGAGCCAAGATTTGAGCAAGCCGGCTGAGAGAGTGATTTTTCCTCTCTCCGCTGATGTCATTGAGAGGACATCTGCTCCTGGTCTCCTCTTACAGGTTCCTTGGGGTGAGTTTTCATCATGGCTTTGGCACCACAGAGTGAACATGAACAGGCTGTCCTCAGATTTCAGCCCAGAGACCCTGGGGGACTTAGACACGCATGAAGGGTGAGACCGGGAGAGTTGAAATCGCATCGCTCACCTCCAGATGTCCCTTTTTGAAGAATGTCGCCAGGCAGACCTGCCAGAGAAAAAGGCGGCATCTTCTCCAGGGGGCTGAAGGACCAAGGAAGGTCTGGTGGCTCCTTGGGCTTCTGATATCCTCTGTCAGATTTTGGGGAGCCTCTGAAGCTGAGCAAGCCTTGTAGAGGAGAGGAGAGGAGAGGAATATGTGGCTGTATACCATGGAAAAGGATAGACAGCGTCTTTTGGGGTCTTTCTAGCTCTAGAATATCCGAGAAGACACCAAACTGGGGTGAAATCCGGCAGGTTCTGACAGGTTCTGGAGAACCGGGAGCGGAAATTTTGAGTAGTTTGGAGAACCGGCAAATACCATCTCTGGCTGGCCCCAGAGTGGGGTGGGAATAGAGATTTTGCAGTATCCTTCCCTTGCCACATCCACCAAACCACACCATGCCCATTACGCCACGCCCACAGAACCGGTAGTAAAAAAATTTGGACTTCACCACTGCACCAAACCAAATCAAGCCAAACCAACCAGGTTTTCTGCAGTCCAAAAGTCCAGGATGATAACCATCATCGTCAAATTTAAGCTTTGACTGGTTTTATGTCCTTGTGAGAATGCCCCTCAATCTGGGATTGAGATAAGCAAGCTCATCGGATCAAATCAAGATCAATATGTTGAATATTATGGTCTGCAGGATTTGCCCTCTTAAACATGACCTTGCTGGACACCCAGCCCAAGGCCTCCTCTCTTGCCCCATGCAGGCAGAGGGATCCTTTGGGAAGTGGCTCAACCCAGAGGCCTCTTCCTACCAGGCCTTACCTATTGGAGCTGCTTAACAGCCTTTCTCGTTTTTAAAAACCAGTTGGCAACAATTCATGCGGCATTTTTCACTGCTACCCTCTTGGAGACCCCTCCAAACCCAAGTGGGAACCATCCCTTGCTCGAGCATCATCAGAATAACGTGCCGAAATCGCACAACGGTTTTGCTGACTCAGCATACGATGCGCCAGTGGGCGAAAGGAGAAGGCTGAAAAAAGGAAGCGGGTGCTGAGATGGGTGACGTTTTGTGGTCAACTGGTAGTGGCGATGGGAAAATTCACACTCTGCTCATCCGGCCCCCTTATGAGCTGATTCCCGTCATGAGTTCGTTTTCTTAAAATGACTGCTGAGGCAGAGTCTGGATCTTGAGCCCGTTTCTTTCCTGCCACCCACAGAATGCCAGGCAAATTAACCCCACCAACCAGACCAAGCGAAGGAACTTTAGGGACCGTGAGTCCCAGGTCCAACCTGCAGCCCCAGAGGGAAGAAACGGTGGGTGAAAAGGCCAAGACCAAAGGCTGCTCAAAGCGTGTCTAGCGAGTGACTGCAATAAAAATTCTGCAATCCATATATTTGGAACGGAGGTTGGGAAAGAAACCACGCAGGATGAGTTGGGAGCAGCTTCTCAACAGATTGCCTGGTTAGTTCTGCATTTTTTGGGCATCTTCACGGACAGCTGCTGGGTGGGCCCACTGCTTTCTGATGGAGCTCCAGGGTTGCAATCTCCAGCCAAGTGTCCTGGGTTCCTCAGTGGCTTCAGGAGCCCAAAGATACAGCTTGGATAAGAGCATCAACCTGAACCTCTCAGTAAATAAACACACCCATAAATCAATGCACAAACACAATGTGGATTTTTTTTTTAAAATAGGGCTGGATGTAGTAGTGTCAGTGACTGCTGATCTAACACAGCCTTTGATCCCTCTGGAATTGAAGGAGGTGTTTCCTCAACAGCAGTCCCGGCTTCCTCTTCATCTCAGGAGGCTTCGGACAGTCTGCCAGCTGAGCTGATCCCTTGGCCTGATCCAGGTTCCAGGCACTTGTGGAGATCTTCCATGGCAGGGGTGGGTTCTACTTATCTTTACTACCGGTTCGCAACGGGATCGCGTGCCTTGGTTCTGCTCATGCGCAGATCACTTCTAATGACCTTAGGGTCAGTGGGCGGAGCCTCCCGCCAGTTTTACTACCGGTTCTATAGAACCGGTCCAAACCAGGGGCAACCCACCACTGTTCCATGGGGTGCCCAAGAACCCCTCACTCCAAAGAAGCCTGAGTGAATGAATTTTCTTAGGAAGTTGAGGGCACATTCTACCATGATTTCTATCATCCATGGGCCCAGCTTGATCTCCTGTTAAGCTTTCTTCTTCCCTTGTCCCTGGGGAAGCAGCTAAACCCAGAGTTGTCAAAGAGAGGGCAGGGGTTAAGTCTGTTTGCAATGCAACCTGGGCTAGAGATAAGCAGGGGAGCTTTCTTAGATCAAAGCAACAGAGAGCCTGGGAAAACTTCTCCCCATCTGTGTCCCCACCCTGGCTGTGCAAAGCCACGCCTGGGTGGCTGTTTATCTGGGCCGGAGCGTGAAACAATATTTCGTCTCCCTGCCTCTTTCCAGCTGGCATCCATGCTCAACAAGTGCCAAAGAGCATTGTGGGAGGATCTGAAAATCTTTCGGAGGGCAGCACTGAAAATCATTTCACTCTGATCGGAGCACCTGGCATACCCGGAAAGAGGCTCGCCCTGAGCCAGGTGATCACGTCATAAATTAAATTCTTCTCTCCGATCCTGAAGGAATCACCTTAAGACTCTCCCCTCTTCAGTTTCACGGCTTCTGCATTTCAGGCTTCTGGGCAGACTCCAACTAGGGCTACAAATGCTTGTCTTTCCCAGTTGGGCTCCGATTTCACTCGGGGGTGGAACTCCAGCTGGCCAAAAGAGATGGTTGCCTTGATGTAGATTAAATGCTTGGGAAGGACAGTATGTCAGCAAGCATGGAGAGCCTTGATGGATGGAAGTTGGGTATTGTCTCAAGGAAGAGGTGGCCATTGGGTCCTTGAAATCAGTGGCCACCTTTGCTTGAGACAATGCCCAAGTCTCATTTTGTGGCCAGGATCATGAGATGGCAGAAGATGAAGGTGGTGGGGGTTGCACCAGAAATGACAAATACAGGAAGTCAAGAAGGATAAGGGAGTTAATAATATCTTATCGCACTTGCTCCACCTTCTCTTCCTTTCTTTGCACGTTGCTACTTCTTTTCCTTGCATTGTTTTCTAATTTATGCAGGTTAGCATCCAGATTGCTGGTCTTGAAGACTTCCTTGAGCCAAAACATTTTCTGAAAGGGACGTTTCCTCACCAGCAAAATAAGACCACCATCTCTTCACAAGGTGAGGAGTCCCGGGAGTCTTTCTATGCTGGTTGGGTGGGGAGGGGGCTTGAGGAATGATAGACAGTCACATCACCTCCTGGGGCAAATTAGAGTAGCAAGGAAGTTGGGACTGCAGAGCCAAAGACCTCCTGGGAAGAGCTACCATTTGCCTGAGGGTGAGACCAATTTTCTCTCAATCCATTCCAAGGGACAGAGCCACTAAGATTTAAAATTGGCTGCAACCCGATTTGTGAGTGGGTGGGGGATGAGTGGGTGGTGGGTGGGAGATGCTTTGCAAACTCAGCACACCTGGCTTATTTTTCATGCAACCAAACTAGTGTGATGGGTCACCAAATTGGAAGTTCTTCCACCTTCCCCTTCTGTCTTTGTCGATCTAGGGGTCCCTGGTGAAATCAGTTGATCTCCTTGGATAAGCCAAACGTGGCCTAGGATCCATTCTCCAGGGTGCATCTAGAAAAGAGGTGCAACTTAGATCGCACTATGGTGGCCACAATTCTCTTGACTTTTTTGACTCTACTCTGTAGGCACCTCTGGCGATTTGCATCAGAAGGGAGAGATATTAGTCACCCATTCAGGCACAGCTAGGCTCACCTCCTCTTAAAAACACAGTCCTGACTTGGAACGCATGCACACATTTTTTGGGGTGGGGGTGGGGGGGGGCTATGGGCAGGAATTCCAGGATATCAGCAATTTTGGATAGAAAGCAGAAGGAGCAGGTGGCTGCATGGCTAAACCAGGCCAAGGTTTGTCTTGGTGGAGGCAGGAACTCTTTAGCCAGATCCTAAGCAGAGGGGGGGGGGATGGAGAAGGCCGCCTTTGTTCTGTGGTTTGTGTAGCCTTCTTCCATCTTGACCTCCCTCCCGGCCTGAGATTCCCTTGGTTTTCCTTTTCGTCTTGTGGCTGGGTTTCCAAGCACCTGATAGCCTTGGCATTGTGCGCACAAAAGCTGGGCAGATAATTCTACAGACACCCTTATCTCCTAGACAGCAACAATTTGGGTGCCCTGGAGCCTGCCAGGAATAACAAAGCTCTGCAGGTTGCCCGTCCTTGGTGGGGAAGAGATAGAAAACCAGGGGAAAGGCAGCCCTTTAGCTTGGGGGGGGGGGTGCTTGGGGGGGCTGATTATGTTGGTGGCCAGGGCCTGAGTCAGGAGGCTTCTAAATCAGGACATCCTGTTTGGGTTTTGAGAAGAAAAAGTGCTGAGTTGGTTGCACGTGTTGCTTTGCAGAATCTCTTTGCAAAGTTGGATGAGGCTGCTGCAAGTCCACCCAGATTGAGAACAGAAATAAAACTGTGAATGTTCCCATCAGAAGTAGAGCCACCGCCCTTTATCCCAAGGCTCTCTCTGGCAGTGCTTTATGGGCCATTGGGCATTCTGACGACACACAAAAATGTGAAGAATCGGTCCCACCAGCCCAAGAAGGACATGCTTGGAAGCTCTGGTACTTATTCTGAAGTCCTAGTTGGGGTTTTCCTCAGGCCTGTTCCACCTTCTGAGAAGTTCTGCTCCACCCTCAGAAACCCTTTCTTTGGAGATGTCCATTCTGAGGTCAAAAGCAGAGGAAGGTCATTCATTAGCTTGAAGGGACACTCCAGGGGACTTTGTTGGTCCCAGGACACAGAAACTATTGGGTGATCAGGACACGTTTTCATTTATTCAGAGTCATTGCCCCAAAGTATTTATGCAATGAATCTGACCTGGTAGGCTACGTTCATACATGCATCCTATCACCTTCTTGGCAGAACACTTCCCTTCACACCTATCCTGCTCCTTGAAGTAACCACTAGAGTAGGAGGGCTACTCCAGGGCTAGCTACGTGGTCTGACCAGAGCTTGTGTTGAAAGGCACAATAGGCAGCCAGGGGAGAAAATCCCCTTCACTGAGCAGCATTACCCATAGCCCTTCAGTCTTGAGGACACAAAATTCTTGTCGTGCCTCTGAGACGCCTTGGGCCACAACCTCCAGTCCGTCACTCAGAGATTAATTCCTTTTCATCCCCAAAGAGTCCATGGTGGCACTCCAGAGAGAGGTGGGATTCTGATTTGACCAGAATTCTCTCCCTGGAGCATTTCTTAACCAACCACTTTTCCCCCTGAGTGAAGCTTTCCGAAGGGCCGTGGCCAGGAATCTCTCTGCAGCCAGCCAATTGAGGGTTGCTGAGGCGTAAGGAAGATCCCTGAGGGAATAAAGAATGAATTAGATGGAGCCACCGGGGAGTTTTTCTCCCCAAATAGGTCCCATTAATTAGTCCGTGGTGAAGAACTGCATCAGGAGAAGAAAGGAAACCTTGGCTGGGTTAGGACACGTATAGGAAGTAGGAATGAAAAGGCCACAGATGTTGCCCTGCTCTTCTTGAAAAAAGATCCTTGCATTTCTAAAAAAAACTTTCAAAAAAAGTTGGAAGGGACCCTGGAGGTCTTCTAGTCCAACCCCCTGTTCAAGCAGGAGGCCTTAGACCATTCCAGACAAATGGCCGTCCAATCTCTTCTTAGAAACCCCCAATGTTGGAGCACTCACAGCTTCTGGGGTCAAGTCGTTCCACGGATGAAACATTCTACTGGTTAATTGAATTAATTAAACGAGGGGGTGAAATCCCACAAGGCAGTCCTTTTCTGGAAAGAAGCCATGTTTGTCCTTACAAAAATGCACGACTCCAACCTGCCCAATCCAGAACCTTCATTTTGTAGGATCCTCCCAAACTTCCTCTCCTTGAGAGAGAACTTACACCCTCCCCTCACTCCCCCCTCCCCAAGCTCAGACTTTTTGGATGGCCATTGCTGGCTCCATCCAGGATGGCAGAGTTTCTGCTTCTGCCAATTCACAGCCACCCAAACCTCTGCCCGCCTCCCAACCCGGACCAGGAGGGAAAGCAAAACAAAGACAAACTTCCCTGAAAGAGTTTCCTCTTTCCAAAAAAACCGCCTGCAAAGCAGCAAAAACCCAGCCCTCGCCTCGAATGGCTCATTAAACAGGAACATTGCTTTCTTGTCGTTGGCTGATATTCTTCATTCCACCGGGTGTCATTATTGTATGTTTTGTACCCTTGGCAGGAAAAGTTCCTGTAAGGCCGACTCAGCTGAACTCGCCCCGGCTGCTCTTTCTCCGTATTCCTGCTTTGAGCCTCGCTTGTTGACGGTAAGAAGACTCAGGTCAAGGACCTGTCTGAGTCCTGCTCTTTCTTCGCTCCTGTCCCTGGCTTTGTCTCTCTGGCTCAGAAAATCTGTAGTTTGCCTATGATTTGGGATGCCGTTTGGAGAAACGAAACCTGTGCAGACAGAATAGAATAGAAGAGTCGGAAAGGACCTTGGAGGTCTTCTAGTCCAACCCCCTGCCCAGGCAGGAAACCCTACACCACTTCAGACAAATGGTTATCCAACCTCTTCTTAAAAACTTCCAGTGTTGGAGCATTTACAACTTCAGTTGTTCCACTGTTTAATTGTTCTAACTGTCAAGAAATTTCTCTTTAGTTCTAAGTTGCTTCCCTCCTCGATTAGTATCCACTCATTGCTTCTTGTCCTACCTTCGGGTGCTTTGGAGAATAGCTTGACTCCCTCTTCTTTGGGGCAGCCCCTGAGATATTGGAACCCTGCTATCATGTCTCCCCTAGTCCTTCTTTTCATCAGACTAGACATACCCAGTTCCTGCAACTGTTCTTCATATGTTTTAGCTCTTGCTCTTCTCTGCACTCTTTCTAGAGTCTCCACATTTTTTTAACATCAGGGCAACCAAAACTGGACGCAATATTCTAAGTGTGGCCTTACCAAGGCATTATAAAGTGGTATTAACCCTTCACGTGTAGATATTATTGTACCTGGCTGGGCGTGTGTGATTTTGCAGTGGGTCCTTGGGAGCCACCTTCAGGGAAGCTGATCAAAGAGCGATCCAACCTAGAATTAAAGAGACATTTCCTGACTTTGAGAACTATCAATCAGTGGAAGAGTTTGCCTCTGGAAGTTGTGGGTGCTCCATCACTGGAGGTTTTTAACGAGATTGGATCATTTGTCCAGCATGGAAGAGGGTCTCCTGCTTGAGCAGGGAATTGGAACTTCAAGGTCTTTTCCAACTCTGTTTATTCTGTATTCTGATCCAACTGGACAATCCCTGCTCTCTTGGCTTCATCATATGATCACTGAGATGGCCAAGGAACCTTGGATCTGGAACCATTCTGGAATCCTATTACAGCTCGCCCACAGCTTTGGAAAGACAGTTCATCTGGGTCTTCTAGAGGCCAGATGGCTTGGCCTCATCTTGGTGGCAGAAGCCCATTGCCCGTCTGTTTCCTTGCCCCCAAATGTAAAACCTGGCCATGAAATATTAATGTTTTTGTTTGCTTGGAAATCCTTTGTCTGACTTTTAAGCTCCAACTTAAAATTTCTCACTCGGTTCCATTCGGCAGGATCTCCAAGAAGAAGAGCAGTGCTGAAAAAAAATCTGAATGCTTTTGAGTTGCATTCTTAGATTAGATTTAACCCAGTTTCTCTCAACCGTGACCACTTTAAGATACGTGGACTTCAGCTCCCAGAATTCTCCAGCCAGTCATGCTGGGAGCTGAAGTCCACATATCTTAAAGTGGCCAAGCTTACGAAACATTGTCCTAACCAATCAAAGTTTTCTACTCCCATTTGTATTGTCTTTGACAACAGTTTTGAGCATTGCAAGTGGTGCCATTACAATTTCAAAGCTCACCAGGGCTTTTCTTTCATACAAAAAACATGTTAGCCTTCTATTTATTATGTATTAAATAATTTACACCACTGTGCTCTGCTTGCCAAAGGATTTTTCCTTCTTCTTTCTTAAATGTCAGCTAGACAAAGTCTACCGGTGCTTTAATACAGTTTGATTTAACAGCGGTACCGGACCGATGTTCCACCACTAGATGTGTGATCTACCTTGTTTCTCCTGCAAGGGATTCTGGGACATTTTCCAAGGCAGCGCAGGATGCTCATTTATTTTGTAGAATGCCGTATTCAGCCTCCTCTGTCCGTCCATGCATTGGAATTGGCGTCACTGGGTAGGATTGGGGTCATCCAAGGAAGAAGTTGTGTACAAATTAGGCTATGTTCTTCTCCATCCATCCATATCAATTAGTTTTGACTTGCAACAATAGTTCTTTGTTGTTACTCAGTTGTTACTCAGCCATTATCGGCAGTTTTAGATGAGGCTAACTCTCATTGGCTTGTCCTATCAGCCTTCACTCTTCTGTGTTTCCTAACCGTGGTGTGAAGCTATCTTGGCACCATGTCAGTTTTTGACCAATCTGTGTTCCAACAGGTCATGGGAGAATTGGAGAACACTACGGATTACTTAGACTATATTTTCGAAGACCTCATCCCTGTTAGAGACACATATAGCAAAAAACCCCAAATAGACCCCCTGACAGTCGTTCAAGTGGTCGCTGCTGTCATCTACAGCGTCACCTGCCTCCTGGGTCTATTGGGCAATGGTTTGGTCATCGCCATTATCTTCAAGATGAAGAAGTCGGTCACCACGATCTGGTTCCTCAACTTGGCAGCTGCTGACTTCCTGTTCAACGTCTTCCTGCCCCTGAACATCGCCTACACCGCCATGGGCTTCCACTGGGTTTTCGGCAGAGACATGTGCAAAGTCAACAATTTGCTTCTCAACCTCAACATGTACACCAGCGTGTTTCTGCTGACCACAATCAGCTTTGATCGCTGCATTTTGGTGGTCTTCCCAGTCCAATCCCAAAAGCGTCGGACCCCGACCATTGCCTGGTTGCTCTGCATCCTAATTTGGGTGACTGGTTTTCTAATGAGCTCCCCTTCCCTTGTTTTTCGAGACACCACAACCTTCCACGACCGCATCCTTTGTTTTCACAACTTCTCCTTGTCCAGTTCTCCAAACGACACCGCCCTTGGCCACCAGAGACATAAAATGGTAACCATCATTCGCTTCTTGTTGGGGTTTATCATACCAATGATCATTATCACAGTATGTTACATTACCATAATTTTTCGGCTGAAAAAGAATCGTCTCGCCAAGTCCAAGAAGCCCTTGAGGATTATTGTCACCATTATCACCACCTTCTTCTTGTGTTGGTGTCCATACCATACTCTCCACCTCCTGGAAACTGATCACCACTCAGTTCCAAACAGCATCTTTGAGATTGGGCTTCCCCTTGTCACCGCGATCGCTGCTTCTAACAGCTGCATGAACCCCATTCTGTACGTCTTCATGGGCCAAGATTTCAAGAAGTTCAAGGTAACCATCCTATCCAGACTGGCTAATGCCCTGACCGAGGACACAATCAATTCGGTCCACTCATTCTCACGCAAAAGCATCACCAAAGCCAGTTCGATGACTGAAAAAGAATCATTTTTACTCTGAGCTTTGGAACCCAACGTGGATTACAGTAGATCATTGGTTTCCAGCAATGGTCCAAAACTCCTCGTGGTTGCCTTCTTGGATTACTCCAGTGGTTTCAGGAGAAACTTGACATTGGCTTGGTGAATCTAAGCCAATGGTGGCTATGTGATTCTAAGTACACTCTTGTTTATTCTTATCACAGCTTTTTGAAGGTTATGGCATAAATACCTGCTCCTAACCACATAAACAAACTTCACGACAAAGGAAGGCCCAACGGTTGAACTTCAGCCTGCAAAGTCTTCACTGCATCCTACAAATTCTTGGCAATAAGCATATTTTGAGCTCTGGGGGAAATTGAGCACCCCCTTCACTGGTCTGAGAATTGGGAAGCTTAGGTTTAACTCATTTTAGACAGGACACCGAAACAGGTGTGTGTGTGTGTGTTTCCTATTCATTTGTACCTGTGTAAATTCAGGTGTGATTTCTCATTCTATCACCTTCCATGTGAGCAGACATGCAACAGGCTCGTTTTCTGCAATCCCCAATTTTCCCTGTGGAGAATTTAATTCTAGTAAAACAACTATAACCACAACCCTTTCCTTCCACACTATACAGGTTTTGTCCAGCAACTTTTTCTCTTTTGTTGACTTTTCCGTGAGATTTCATAGTCCACGAATAAATCTTTTCTCTAGGAGGTGGGCTGGGCATCCCGTCTATTCAATTTCATGCCCAGTTAATTTGGGAAATCATTCATTTCCTCCTTTTTTTCCTTTTCACTGAATAGACTTAAATCTGAGACGCTGAGCTAGAATCCAGCCCTGGGTTTATAGCTTGATAAGTTACTATTACTTATCCCAAATCTAACAAAATCGCTTTTGATAGTATCTGGAAAGACACAGACTATGGAACCTCTTCTTCTGTCCCCAAAAGGGTCAGGCAGAACAACTTCTCCACCTCTGGAATAGATCAACAAGGATTTCTAACTACTGGTGGTTTACAAAAATACCATCAAAATTAAAAGGAAGTTGTGTAAATTTGCTGCATCAGGAACAATCTCTTGCATGGAAGAAATAGTCCCTGGTCTCAGAACACAGGCAGAGGCATCCAACGATCTTTTCCAGCTGGTGAATCTTGAGGATTTAGTAAATAAAAGTAACTTCAACTATTGGCATGAGAGTCCATTGCCCTCAGTCCAAGTCCTAGCAATATGGCGTGTGTTGAAAATTAATCTGTTGTGTCAGGTTTTCTACAAATGAAAAAGTATGTACCAGTAATTGTTGTAGGTAACATTCCTAACAAATATATCTGTATTTAAGATAAGTTGGTTTTTTTTTTAACTTGGTATTTCTAAAGATATGTGCTGAGTTTTTTTTTTCCATAAGCAATTTTGTAAGGTCCATCTTTTATAAATGAAAAATAATAAATTCCAAACAGTGATATCCTGTAGCATTTGTGTTGCCAAGTGGAGCATACATTAAATAAAGAGACACGCTTTTGTGCGATGGTTTGAGTGAAGAAATATTTGGAGAGGAATTACTAATAAGGCAGGTGGCTGGGGAATTCTGGGTGTTGAAGTCCAGCAGTCTTAAAATTGCCAAGATTGGACATCCCTGAAATAAATACTCCAGAGAAATCTGGTGTCTTCATTGGTCTCTTCTATAAGAACCTTAATTGTGGAGTTTTTCATGATCTCTGCTTCTTCTGGGCTCTGGAGGGGCTGCTAAAAAACATCACCAATAAACAACAGCCTTTAGCACCTCCATGTTTTTCATCTTCAAAGTGTTTTGCACATTTTCATCTAATTAATCAGAGTGTTACCCAAAGAGGGCAAATTTGTGAGGGAGATGATCAAGAAAAAATTCCTCTTGGAGGCAGACGAAGAGGCGTTGGATGAGCCAACGGAAGCTTCGTCTTAAGACGAAGGCTGCAGTCTCAAATAATGTATTTTCATACTTATTTCCACATAGGCATGCATCTTTAGGCAGATTTTTAAATTGCAGTTGCAGTTCTACGAGGAAGACCTTCCAGAACAGGTCCTCTCCATTGAGGTCAAGAAGGGGCTTGGAGAAACATCTGCTGAAGAACCTAAGAGAGAAAGAGAGAGTCTGGAAACATTTGTAAGATTTTTGGAAATTGTAAGACAATTATTGGGCAGGCAGTGACTTGAGGGCTGCCACGTTCTCTTGTTGACCTCCAACCTGATCCTGTTGCTCATACAAAGATCCTGGAACTCAGCTGCCCAACTGCAAGAGGACTTGGCACAATGAAGTCATGGCCTCCACACCTCTAAGGAAGCTCAACCTCTTGAACAGAATCTGGGGCAACTGACTGGAATGACCTCTGCTTGAGACCCTGGGGAGTGGGTCTAGAGGCACAAGCCCACCTGTCGTGGCCACGTGGGCCAGGATGTGTCTTCTGAAGAGACAGATGCACGTTGTCTTCAATTGCTGCAGAAGTTCCATTTGTCATCTGTTGTTTATTTCCCCAGCTTGTCCTCTCCAGAAAGCCGTAATCTCTGCAAACAGCTTTCCCGAACTGATGAGTGGTGCACATACCCTTGGGTTAAACCACCAACATAAAGCACACTTGGTGAAAGCAAATATTTGATTTCCATCCTTCCAGTTTGTTTGCCTGTTTAATGTGGCTCCAACCTCTTTCACATACAAATAAGGGTGTCTTGGAGGAAGCCGCTTTTCGTGCTTTTCACAAGCTAGAGATGCTTTTTTTTCTGTTTTTTTTTTCCATGAGGAAATATGTTCAGTTTTGGGGTACAATTAGATGCCATCAAATTAGCCCCAACTCTGGAAACTCAACAAACACCCTCATCGTGACCTGACTCCAGACAGAGTTATCCTCAGCTCCCCCCAACAGCCTCCTTGATCTTCTTCCTTCAAAGGGGCCTCCAAACTTGGCAAAATGAAGACTTGAGGACTTCCAACTCCCAGAATTCCTCAGCCAGTCTTCAGGTGGCCAAGTCTGAAGGCCCCTGACCTCATCCATCATCTCTTTCTTCTACTTCTCATACCTTCACCTGGTTTAGAAGTTTCTTCTCATCCATCATCTCAGTGTTTCTCAATCTTCGCAACTTTAAGAGGTGAGGACCACAAGTACCAGAATTCCCCAGCCAGCATATCTAAGGCTTAGACAGTGGTATATCAAAGATAAATCAGCTAAATCCACAATTGGGCCGTAATGTGATCCCATGGTGTAAGTGTGGTTTCAGATACAAGATGTTGGCTCTTCCAATTGTATCACCAACCGTGTCCACATTCAAGGTTGCCCGAGAACCCCTTAGATCCCAGGATCCGTTTCTGCCCTCCTTTTTGTGAAACGGGGCCACGTCTTCTGGTGGCACCAAGCAGGGGAGAAAAGAGGTCCTTTTGAGCATGCTGAAGAGCGGCTCTTGAAATGCCATCAAGCTGAGAGGGGGATGTTGTCCTTGGCGCGCCTGAGGCTGAGCAAGATGTAAATTGCTCCAAAACCAGAGAGCAATCTTGTCTGTGTCATTAATAATTCTCTCTGAAATAAACATAACTGCATATTTGCTTGATCGTATCGGAGGGCGAACGCAGCCGGCTGACATGACTACAGAGGGAGATATTGTTGGCCAGTTGCAAGGGAATAAGTGAAGAGAAGGAAAGAAAGAGAGGAAGGAAGGAAGGATGGAAGGAAGGGGATGGTGTAGGGAAGGAGGGAGGAGGGAAGGAGAGGAAAGGGAGGGAGGAGAGGGAGGGAAGGAAGGAGGGAAAGAAAGAAAGAAGGAAAGAAAGAAGGAAGGAAAGAATGAAAAAAGGAAAGAAGGAAAGGACAAGAACTATCTCTTGTGAATAGTTTTCTGGTTTCACACTTGTTACAAGAGTTCAATAGCAGGTGTCCTTATTCCATTTTCCTTCCTTCTGCTTCCATTGTCTTCTTGGAATCGCTCAGAGCCCTCCTCCCCCTCGCCTGCCTCTCTCCCTTTCCGTGTGTCAGGAGCTGATGGGTGCTGGTGAAGCCACGTTGCGCAATTACGCTCCTTCTCTGCATCCTTTCAGGCATCTGGGCTGGTTCCAATCGCACGCTCGTGTCAACATTGGAAGAGATTCCTCTCTCAGTGACACCCATAACATTTGGGTCTAGCCTGCCTTGCTTTCCATAATTACGGGGTGGCGTGCGGTCCTCCCCACTCCCAGTTAGCTGTCGGGCTTTGGAAACAAAGCTGCGTGGCATGTTCTTTCCATCAATCACCCCCTTTTGTTTGAGAAATGGATGGGAGCAAAACAAAAGGAAGACATATTTGTTTTCTTCCCGGATGCCATGTTGCTTGGACGGATCCCCATCTCAATCCCAGCTCCCCGTGTTCTGGCAGATGGTTGACCGTAAATTTTATGGAAAAAGCGTAAAAGTGATAAACAAACATGTTTCTTTTGTGAATGTCGCGGCATGCAAGACTTATGTTCTCATCTTCCTATGCGTTTTATTGCTTTTATTAACATACGCGTGGAAGACTCTCTGGGTTGTATCATTAATCATCCCCTCCTCAAATCATCTAAATTAAAACTGACATTTGTGATGTTCAGCAGAGGGAAGATCCCCGTTTTTCTGCTCCCATTAATTGCAACGGCCTTACTTCTCCACCGGAGGAATTTTCTTGGTATCCTGTCTCCTTCTTCCCCATAACAGGCGTGGTATGGTGTGCTCGTCTTCCCTCAAGAGTGTGTATTCTTATTTGTGAAAAGGTGGTCATAACAAATTGTTTCCCATATGGATTGTGTTTCCCCAACTAAGGCAACTGCGTTTTCCAAGTGCAGATGTCAACATTCCATAGTTTTATACGCTTACAGAGCTCCATTGCAAATATTTGGGGAGTGCTGAGTCTTCAAGATAAATGAATAAACACAATATATTCAGAATAACAAGGAATCCATCTCTCCGGTCTGGGTTTAAAGTCACACTTGGGGCTTCAGAAAGACAATAAAAACTTGAAACAAGAAGGAAAGTGGGTAGATCTAAAGATGGCTTGAGATGCCCCCAAGGATTCCCTACTGACCAATAAGATTGTTGAGTTTCTTCCTTTAAACAGATGATTCCCTTCATACAGTGATGTCATCGTTTGAAAATATTTTGCAGTTCTGTCTAGGTTGGGGATCAGTGATGGAGCTGAAGCCTTGGGAATCCAGGGGCTTTTGATTAATTTCTGGGGTAGAAAGCTTTGCTCTGACACATAACAATTTAGTGCAATATTGAGATGATGAGAGAACTGAAGAACTGAAAACCCTCCAGAAGATATATAAAAAAACAGGTTTTAATGCTGCCTTCTGAAGGACTGGAAACAGGATCTCTCAATTTGCCATTGAGACATCATGACAAATCCAAAGGACTTCATTCCCAATTCTCTCTCTCTCTCTCTCTCTCTCTCTCTCTCTCTCTCTCCCTCTCTCTCTCTCTCTCTCTCTCCTCTTTTGAGGGTCTTAGGAAATTGATTATTTCCTAGAGTTGCTCAATGTTTCATTGGGAGCCAACTTAGAAACCAATGAATTTCTTCTCTGGATGCCTCTGGGACCAGTCTTGGTCTCCACAGAGGAGGAGATCAAAAGAGCTTTCAGTTCATTGTGTGTGTGTTTGTGTGTGTGTGGCCATTTTTATCTGTGCAAAAGGGAACATCTCTTCATTTTTCAGGCCCCACGTTCACCTATTTCCGTTCTGAATCATTTCTCTCCATCTGCTGAGACAGCCCCCCGTCCAAAGTATTTTTAAATTTTACAGGGAGAACCAGCCTGGGTTTCAATGGGAAGGCAGGGTTGCTATAGCAACCACTAGGTATAACCAACCAGCGGTTGTCTATGCCTCCCGGGGAGGGGTGGCATCTCAAAATTAATAAGCCAGTGGGATGCAAAGCAAAGCAAAATCCTAAGGAAGGTTAGAGACTAAACGGGAGATCCACATCCATCTTTGAATGGGTCAAGGAGCTGGGTGCGATTCTCTCGAATAAACAGCCCTCTTCATTCCTGCCCAGGCAGCAACATCTTGGGGGGGGGCACCCTCCACACAACTTCTACTGCCGTGGGAAATGGGGTGCAGAAGCAGCTGGAGTTTGCATGATGGGCATTTCTTCCCGTTCCAGGGCATTTCTGGAGGGTTTTGAGTAGCTCAGCAGCTCTGCAAGGCGGCAGGAAAACATCCGCCTCACGAGCCAAAGGGCTGAAAAAAGAGAAACAGGCAGACAGGCAGAAGATTTGTTTTCCTAGCTCTCTTATCTGCCTATTTTGAATTTTCCTGATCTGGCATAATCCAGCGATAAGTCCCTCCGATGGTGAAATCCGACGCTTGTGAATTAATCAATTTGGAGGGATTTGCACCATATCCTGAGTCACAGTCTAGCCAAGCGAGCTTCGTTTACGCAACATGGGGATGGCAAATCCGAATCACAATTAACACTCACACGTTTCAGCCTTTTGTGGGAATGTCATTGCTCAGTCTTGGCCTGACCTGGTTAACTATGATGTGCAAGCACAGTTAGGATGAAAGCAAATTTCAGATAGACACTGGAAAATCTTATCTTGAAGGCTGCAGTTATTTCTTAGTGAGTCTGGACTCTCATAACTATGCAATAGTGGAGACATTATTATTTTTTTCCTTCCTTCCTTCCTTCCTTCCTTCCTTCCTTCCTTCCTTCCTTCCTTCCTTCCTTCCTTCCTTCCTTCCTTCTTCCCTCCCTCCCTCCCTCCCTCCCCTCAACATCTCATCCCCCAAACAGCCTTCAGTCAGTTAATTTTCCTATTTTTGTGCCTACCACGGACATCAAAGCATGCGTGCAGGATGTCTTAAGAACTTCTGGAATTACATTCTTGGCCTTGCTTATATTTCCCAAGAAGTTGTGATTGTGAACTCCCTTTTTCTCCATTAGCTACTGCATCAACACAAGGAAAGGGCAGTGAGAGACAGTCCCAGGCCTTGGCCTGGAAGGAGAGGCCACCCAGGGCAGAGGAGATCTGCAGCCCCTCACCAGCAGCCCCTCCTCAAAATGATCTGATCAAAATATGTTGACATCTCCGGGGGTGGGGGGGGCTGAGTGAAAGACCTGGCAGTGGGAACACCTGTGAAAACACTCAACCGGAGCCCCTCATTTTGTATTCAGCACCATGGTCAGTGCAAGCTGGGAGAGAGGGACGTGCAGGAAAGGAGGGAGGGGATAGAAACAAGAGAGGGGAGGGCACAGACCCCTTCTGGTAGGAAGCATTCCAGCCCCTCCTTTCCCCACCCACAGTCCTGTAAACCCACACCAAGCCCCGGTGATGTTCCTGCTGCCGCTGGACTGAAGCCGCCGTCACGTTCAGCTCAGCTCTGCCCCTTCCCCAGAGCCCCCCTGCTCATCCCTCATCCTGCCCGGTAGCTGATGGGCAGGGGAGGCTTGCTTTGCAAGCAGATTCTTTGCCAAAGGAGAAGCATCAGCACAATGCAAAACAGGAATGCTCTGTTCGGAAATACAAAACGACACCCCACCAACGAGCGGAAGCTGCAGAGAAATGTCGCAATGGGCAGTGTGGCTATTCTGGACTTTGGACAGTTATGCTATGCCATTCTCACAAGGCTGCCATTCGCGTTCTCTGAGCTTCTTCTCCTCCTCAGCATTGGGTGATCCCAGAACGTAGCTGGTACTCGTTAGGTAATTGAAAAACAGCCTCATGGATTTTTTTTCCAGTCTAACTTTTTTTTTTTTGCTTTTATGCAAACAAAAGAAGGAAGAAGGAAGGAGGAGGAGGAGGAGGAAAAGAAGGAAGGAAGGAAGGAAGGATTGAAAGAAAGAGAGAGAGAGCGATGACAGACAGACAGCAGATATAAATAAATAGAGGCGATGGATGATAGGTGACATAGATAGGCTAAGTCATATCTGGAATCTATGTTATTTAAGACATGAGATAAAATTCTAATCCATGTGAACATCTTCATAGCATGGCAACTGCCTAGTTGCTCCTTGAAAGGTCAGAAGGAGGTAGAGATACAACTGGATGATGAATATAGATTAGGGAGAGGCAGATGCTTAGTTGTATCTGTGACTAGATCCACGAACTCATACCCCAAATAGTGCCATCCCCCCAAACACGGACGCCGAATGCCACAAAAGACCCACAGCGACGGCTGTGGAGATTTTAACAAAATGTTGGTTTAATGGGCAGCATTTAACCTGAGGATTGTTCAGATGGAGTCCAGCAGCACTGAGGCTGCCCCAAGAAGTAAGATGCAGAAACTATATTGCTAGCACAAAGCTCAGCATCGATCGGTTGATCCATCCTGACCAGCCTTTGAAAGTAAACAGGTTCTAAATGTCGAGGATTCCAAAAAAGAGGATTCTTCTTGGGTCAGCAGAATCAAGGAAGGTGATCACATGGTGGGATTTTTAACCAAATTGCTTGTTTAGAACTGGGTTCAAAAAGGCAACCAGCTAAGGAAGAGCAGAGTGATCTTACTTGGGCAGGAAGGAACACAAAAATTCTGGGGTGGGGAGGAAGCAGCAGCAGAAGCAGCAACAGCAGCAGCAAAGATCTCCCACCAATGGGCCTCATTTTCTGGAGACTGGTTGGCCAAAACATCTTCGGTCAACCATGAATATCGCCATCTTTGCTCATGCAAAAGAGTTCTTTAAAAGCGAGCACCGGCAGGATGAGTCCTCCTACACCACCCACCCACTGGGTGGAAATGGTTCCTGGCCAGGAGGAAGCGAATTTGCACCTCCAAAGGAGATCAGTTCCTCGGCCCCAACCACTGTCCATCATCTGGGATAGTAGTCTTTGGGGACACCGGTGAGGTTCCTGAGTTTCAGAGCCATGTCCACCGTTTTGATGTAGCCGTTGATCATTTTCTTCATCTCTGGGGTGTAAGGGTCATACTCCAGTTTCCTCAGCCCTGATCGCTTGAAGTTCCCATCCTTCTGCCCCTCAACACACAGCAAGCGGTCCTCGTGAACCGCGATGTCCAGCAGGCTGACCATCCTCTTGAGCTGGACGAAGAGATCCTGCTTGAGGTCCTCAAAATGGACCACCAAGACCTTCTTGCCAAATTTCAACCAGTCGAGAGTGTGAGTCACCCACCACGGAGCATAGTTCTTGACAAACTCCGGCCATTCTGAGTGAAGGAAGAAAATACGTTATTCGCTAAGCCTTCCTTGGCATCTTCAGGGTCTGTCTGGACTTTTATCCCCCCCCTCAACCAGAGATAAAAGCTTTAAATAGCCCCTTTGCTTCATTTAAACATCTTGTCAAATCCTATCTCTAGAGCGGTGGAGATATTTAGCCATAATAACATTCCTTTCTCTGAGAGTCAAGGACATTCGGGCCTGGAGTGGCGTGACTGGGAGGCCTCTCCAGTTGGGACAGTGCATTGATTGGACCACGTGATGGACATGGGGGTGCAGGGGGGAAGGGACTTGGACTTTCCTTTGGGTGGGGAAAACCTGGAAGCTTTCAGATTCAGGTTTTCCCAGATGTGCCAATATGACATCTCTCATAAAATGGAACTTTGAGGAACTTCTAGCCTCGGAGTCTTCTTTCATTGGGGATGCTACTTGGAACCCTGACAGTAGAGAGCTGGAGGTCCTAGGACTGAACGGGTCCATGACAGTCACAAAATATGGACATCCACCCTCCTCCCAAGACATAACCCTCACTCAGAGCACACAGGTGGGAAGAAGCAGGAGAAGCCATATCGATGAAAGTTGAGGCTTATCCTGGTCAGTTGTGGCTCTTCTAAAGCCTGCGGTCAACCTGGCTTCTCTTGAAGCTCTGTCTCTGCATCTGAGCTTCTGGGTCTTGAAGTTCAAGGAAGGTGGTGGAGCTGCAGAAACCCGTAATTTGGAAGAGCATCCCAGCTGGGCAAACCTACCCTTGCCCTTCCAGTGGGCATGAGAAGCAAAGCCGATGTGACCCCCGTACTTCCGGTTGAACTCTGCCATCAGTGCTTTGAAGGGGTTGCGAACCAGGAGGATGGCCGAGTCAAAGGCTTCGATCTCCTTCTGCCCACTCTCGTGGGTCTTGATGCATATCGTCCGACCGCTGCGCCAGTGATCCCGTTCGCCTTTGAACCCTTGGGGCAAGGTGGGGGGAGGGGAGAGGGAGGAAATGAAAGAGTCAACCGTGAGCAGCAAACAGGGGGAAAGGGAAGGAGGGCGACAGAAGTGGCCTGGCAACTCTTTAGCCGGTCTAATGATTCTGGGAAGGCCAGGCAGGGCACGGGGCAGAGAAGGAGAAAGGCATGGAGAATTATTTAAAGCCAGGAGGGGCTTCCCCTTGACTGGCTGTTGAAAAATAATTTAAAATAGGAACTAATTGGGAGGAAATCCTAAAATAAAAATGGCCCTCCACATAGGGATAAAGCTGGCAGGTTTTCAGGAACCTCTCTCTCCCTCCCTCCCTCCCTCCTTCTCTCTCTCTCTCTCTCAATCATCTCTTAATCATCTCTCATATCTAATCATCTATTATCTCTCTCTCATCATCATCTACCTCCTCTCCTTCTTATCTATCTGTCTATGATTATCATTAAGTGTTGTACCTTATGATTCTTGGCGAATGTATCTTTTCTTTCATGTACTCCGAGAGCGTATGCACCAAAGACAAATTCCTTGTGTGTCCAATCACACTTGGCCGATAAAGAATTCTATCCTATCCTATCCTGTTTATCTATCATCTATCTATCGTATCTAATCATCTCCCTCTCTCCCCCGCTCCTCTCCCTCTCGCTGCATCACTGGAGGTTTTCAAGAAGAGATGGGACAATCGCTTGTCTGAAATGGTCCAGGGTCTCCTGTTTGATCAGGGAGTTGGACTAGAAGACCTCCGAGGACCCTTCTGACTCTGTCCTTCTGTTTTCTGCTTTACTCTTCAACTTCTTAGGCAGGTTGGCTTCAGGCCTTCTTCTCTGCATTTCCTCCTCCCAAATCAGCTTAACGGATGCTTTTCAAACAGGGGAGTCCCGCATGGACGGAATCCTTAAATCTCAGCACATCCCTCCTTTCCCTGGTGAGAGGATCAGAGGCTGATCACTGTAACGGAGCTTTCCGTGGGATGCCAAGCTACCCTTGAAAATTTACCGGGGCTTTCTCTAAGAAGTGGCTGCTTGTTAACCGATTTGTCTTTTTTCTCCCACGGATCTTTTAAAACTATAATGAGCTAGAACTACCAAGGTTTGGTCTCCAGGCAACTGCAAATTCCAGGAAAAGGATCTGAAGCTGGCTTGACAATTTGAAAGGAACAGAGGGAGGGAGGGAGAGAGAGAAAAAAAGAAAGGAAGATGATAAAGCGATGGCCAGAAGAGGCAAATTCCCGAATTGTCTGGGCTGGGCCGAGTTTGAAAGAAATGGTGGGGTCAAAGCTCCAGTCTTCCAGCGATGACCTTGATCTCTCTGGAGTTCTTTCTGACAAGGCCAGATGCCAACAGGGCAGCCTAGGCCAGGGGCCTCCAGCCTTGGCAACTTGTGGACTTCTGGGCTGGGGAATTCTGGGAGTTGAAGTCCACAAGTCTTAAAGTTGCCCGACCTAGGAGATGTTCTACCAGGTAGTTGAAGCAAAGCCAGAAGACCAAGAGTTGGGCAGAAAAAGTGTTCCACTATTTAGGCCACGGGTCTCCAACCTTGGCAACTTTAAGACTTGTGGACTTCAACTCCCAGGATTACTCAGCCAGCAAACTCTGGGAGTTGAAGTCCACAAGTCTTAAAGTTGCCAAGGTTGGAGACCCCTGATTTAGACTACAGAGAAGAGAATCCATTCACTGTGTTCTGACGTAGGCTCCCTTAAAAAGCAGGAAGCAGGAATTGGTCCCTGCAAAACCTCTTTTATTTACATGACTGTGAATTCCTTTCATTCACAGTCAGCAAAGTTTGTCCAAACAGTTTTTCAAAGGAATATTTATCAACACACCTTATCTTGCTTGGCAAGCTGCCATGTAACTTGTTTCCAAATGCAGAGTAAGGCAAAACTTGGCACAGAGTCTCTGGGATGCACGGACAGATCTTTCCACTCTTGAAACGAACGAACGAACGAATTGTTTCCTGAAAAAGCCCCCTCCCTGTTTGCTCCTCTTTTGTTTCCTTTGGGAGGGGCCAATCGCCTCCAAGGTATGGCTTTACTCCCCAGTTGACCCTGCTTTCTTAATTTTTCTTGTCTTTTGGCAGCTCTGCACATGTGCACATTGGGAACAGGTTCCAGCTGTTCCTCTGCCTCACTGCTGTCTAGCTCCCTCTCTGCCTCTGACGCAGAGCCCTCGTCCGAGCTTTCCCCAGCCCCCAGGATTGGCCCATGTTCCTCCCCAACCTCCTCACTGTCTGACCCTCCTGCCAGCTCTGCTGGCTGCCTGCTGGCCAAAACACACTGCCTGGATTTTGTGGGAGACATGCTGGTTGGTCTTCCATGGTGGAAGCTGCTGAGGTAGGGAGGGTCAAATTCATAGCTGAGTGAGGTTTTCAGCTGAGTTCTCCTCCAATGGCTCAGGGCAAGTCCGGCCCACTCTCCAATCCCACCCCCCTTCCACACCCATTGCAACTCCCAAGGAAGCCATGCTTGCCATCACCTTTATTATAAAGAGAGCCATCAAAATAATAACTCCCCGTATAGAAACCCGTGGCCAGTTCAATCAGATGCCGTGCCCACGTGTTGCCCGCTCCGGGAAAGCTGGCAAGTGCGACCAATTGTTTTGCTCGAGCTGTGAGAAATCTCCGATCCATACATCGGTTATCTGTGAAGCAGAGAACAAGAGAAGGTCCCTGAGGTCACGGAGGAGATGTTTCTGAGGGCCACTGGTGCAACTCCCACCTCTGAAGGTGTCCTGGATGGCATGGGGAAAGGAGAAGGAGTTTCAAGACCCCTTGCTCATCCCAGACCACTCATTCTGGTGGCCTTCTCTCGGTTGCCCCAGGCTGGCTGGCAGTGCTGCAGAGCAGAAGGTTTTGAAGCTATCTCATTGAGCTTCTCGAAGAGACGCTTGGCTTAAAAAAAAATTTATTTATTTATTTTACATGGAAGCTGAGACTCAGATTGTCAGCTGGGAGGTGACCACACTCCCAAGATTTACATCTGAAACCTTCTCCAGCTCTCAAGTGATGGAGAGAGGACACCTTCCTTCTTGGAGCCCTCAGACCAGGGCTCAAAGAAAGAGAAGTGTCCTCTCTCATCCGGCTGCAGTTCTGGAAGGCCACCCATCTGGAAGGGGCAGAGGCTGAGAAACACTAGAGGCTCTGTGTATTTTGGGCCCCCACCCCAAAGCAGGGACTATGCTATGGTTTTACAAATTAATAACCAGAGAAGGAAGCTCCAAGAGGTGATGGGCACAGTGTACCCGGGACTCCAGACTCCCTTGTTGATGGAACAGGAGGCTGCCCGAGTGCCCAGGATATCTTCTGAATGCCACCAGCCCCCCATCCCCACCTCCCCAGCACCTCCCCTGCCCCTGATACCTTGCACTTGGGTCTGGTATACAATGAAATAGTCGGAAGTGCCGCAGCTTTCAAATTCCTCCCCGTTGCATCTCTGGGCGCAAAGATGCTCTCCTTCTCGTTCATGCAAGGAGAAAAGAGTGGTGGGGAAACCGCAGTGGCAAAAGGTGCCAGCCAGAGCTGCCAGAGGGTATTCCTAGGAGGGAGGGAGGGAGGGAGGGAGAATTCACTGCTAGGCATGGGGCAAATGCTTTGGGAGCAGAGAGCTCCTGCCTGCCACATGGGAAGGGCTGATGCAGAGGTCCTGGCACTCTCATGAAGACCGTGGGAAGGGAGAAGGGATGCTCAGCCCTCTTGATTCTGCCCTTCAGGGCCCTGCGTGGCTCCCCCCATGGTCCAGCCCCTGTTTTCCGCTGGCCTCCCTGGCAGCCCCTGGAGAGGAGATGCTGCCCCACCCAGGAGTCAAGTAGTGATCGCTGGTGGCCAAAGAATGCCTCCATGGAGCCTGCATTGGCACCCAGGAAGAGTGGAGGTATATGGACCCTAGTGGGCCAACCCAGGCAGGGAACTTTGGAGAAAAGCCACGTCCTTGTGCCAGACTTTGGGGCACAAGGCAGCCCCCCTTCTCCTCACCTTTCCTGTGCAGAGGTCAACGCACCGGTCCACAGACATGTTCCTCATGGGCCTGCTTGCCAACAAAGCCGAGGAGAGGTTCTCTGGCCGCCGGAAGCAGCCGCGGAAGATGGCGCTGCCATCTGGGGAGAGAAGCAGAGGGAGGTTTCTTTGCTAGAATTCAGAGAGAGAGATCCAAAAGGCACAAGGCCCTTCCTCATTCCACCCATCCAGTTAACCAAAACACCTCGACACTGTGCCAAGGCCCTCAACAACGGAGGCCACACTCACACCTCCTGGTGGATTCCTGGGCCAGCTCCAGGCGGTAGATGGACAGCCGGTTTGGTCCCCCACAAAAGCTGCTCTTTTCTCCTTTGCACTCCATGTTGCACTCGATGTCGCTCACGTTCACGGCCAGGATCTTGTGCCCACAGTAGCACTCTGCCCCGAACTCCAGCCCCGCGTAGAGGTAGCCCCTGCCACAGATGAAGGCACCCTGAATGTGGGAATCCTCCAGACACAGAGACCGGATGTCCCTGAACGACGGGGACTCCTGGGCCGTGTCATCATCGTACACTAACTGGGTTAGTTGAACCGAGGCCACACCTGGGCTTAACTTGAGGAATTCTGAGCAATTGGGTAGAGATTTACAGGGCAGGAGAAAGGGACGAAATCAGGATGGATCTCTGGGCACTGATCCTATCGCCTTTCAGCTTTAACCATATTTCACCGTTTCCCACCCCAACCATTAGCTTGACGAGGAATAAATTCAGCAAGTAGAAAAAATTGAAGTGGCCTCTACTCTTCCTCTCAAGTGGGCCAGGGAGAGAAACGCGATTCGGTGTCTTGTGTGACTCCTGACCAGGCAGGTAGAAAAACACATATTTCCCAAGAGGAAAGGCTACCATCACTCTATGGGTGGTAGACAGCCATATTACTTCAAGACTGGCTGGATTGTGGGATATATTGTGTGTGGGGGTGGAGGGGAGTAATATGTGTCTTTTGCCACTGCTATCATCTTTTGAAGCAATCACTTAGGGGAAAATCTCCCACAGGTAGCAGTCAGAGGAGGAAGTCCTGCCCCAGAGCAGAATTGCAAAGTATTTGTGGTTCAAGAAATTGGAGAAGAAGGAAATTCATGGATGTTCTCTAGGGAAGGAATGTCTTCTTGGTCTATAGGGCTCAGTATTTCTTTTTTCCTCTGTCCCACCCTCTTTGAATTACTCTCAACCCCCCCCAAGTACAAAAAAGTCTCCCAGATAACCTCAATTCAGCATGATTTGGCTCCAACCATTTGGCATCATCTCCCTCGCTTCCCCCCTCCCCAACCATTCAACGCAAGGTAACCCAAGAGGCATCAAGACCTTCCTTCCAATTTGTAAAATGGAACGGATCAACGTCTGCCTTCCCTGGGAGCTCCCCCTGGTCCTGAAATGTCTGGCAGTCATTGCCACAGGAGTCCATCCTTAGGCCCCGTGCAACATCTGGACTGGCTGCCCTCATGGCAAAGAGTCCCAGGGAGAACCTGAAACTGCCAATCCCAACAAGAAGGAGACGCACTCGATGCCTGGAGTTAATGAACTCCTGGTGTTGTTTGCCACCCTACCGTTCGGCGCAGTTGTCCTGGCAACGGAACAGTGTCATTTTTTTGTAGTCAAAGAAGGACACTCCGCGGAGGGCTCTCTGGTGGGTGTTGTCGACATAACAGCCGATGTATTTTGCTGGTGGAAGGAGAAAAAATGTTAGCACCCACCCTTTGGAAGGAAGAGGCCGCTTCAAGAGAGGGGCAGACCAGACGCACTCCAGATCTTGAGTCAGGGAGTCCGGGGAAGGCTGGGCTAAAGGGATTATCCAGAGGGACAATTCTCAGTACTAGCGTGGCCTGGGGAGAATTCCCATCCTGTTTTTCCAGATTCTGCATTTTTAAAAAATTCTTGTAAGACCTACAAGATCCCATCCGAAAGCTGCTGTTCCTAGCAGGTTTCTCTAACCACCGCACAGTCTCCCTCCTCCCACCAAAGTTTGCACTGCTTGTCCAGGGAACCATCCATCAGAGTGACAAGCCAGCTTTGCTAGTGCCTGGATGTGAATTCAAAGCACGCTCTCCTGCATACCGATGGCTCTTTCGATTTACAAGACCAGACTTGGCGCAAGGAAACCTGTTGGGCGTGCCTCTTTCTGGCTCGGCAAGGGGAAGAAAGAGGTGGCACTGCCAGTCCACCTTCGGCCTTCTGTTTGCCAAGATGAGTCACCTACACAGCTGGGGAAGATTTGCCTCAACTCCCCAAAGCTTACAGCTCTGATCTTTCCAGAGTCAGTCTTCAGTCTGAAAGAAGACCAAGGCTGAAGTTAGTCCAGTGATCCATCTGGACTGGACTGAGGTGCTGAACTACCACTCCCATCATCCCCAGCCAGCAAGGCAAACTCTAATAATAATAATAACAATCTGGCTTTATAATAAACGCCATCGGCATTGACAACATCCCCACCCGTCAATTGCAAAAGGCAGTTTTACTGGGAACAGCTGTCACCCTACAACGATGCCTTGAACACCATCAAACCTCCACATCTGCCTATTCTGGGTCTTTGGGAAGGGCTCGATAGGCGGATAAAAATCCCTATCTGAAAATCTGGCTGAGTGTGCGACAAACCACACTTGTGCAACCTTCTGAGAGGAAGGTTGAGGCCTGAAACATCCTACCCTTCTGCTTTAGCTTTCGGGAGAAACTGACTTTTTTAAAAAAAGTCAATTGCATGGATACCCCCACACCCCAAATCCTCTCACTAAATTGTAGGAGGTTTAGAAGGGAGGAAAAAGAGGCTGGCAATTGATAGCAAAATCCTTTCAGTTCAGTCTTGGGGAAAATCCCCCAACTCCTCCCCCCCCCACTACTGTCCATGGGTTTTTTTCAAAGGTCTGGTTTGCTCTGCCCCCTCCCCCCTAGCCCCCCTTGCCCTGGTCCAGATGGGGCTCCTGGCCAAAGAAAAGGAGTGGTGGGGTGAGATGGGCCCAGGGGGAATGGGGACCCCCCTCTGCTCTTGCCCTCCTGTGGAGCATCAACCAAGAAAGGGAGGATGGATCGTGTCCAAGAGAGACACCCCCACTTTGTTCCGATGATTTCCAGGCTCGGCCTCCCTTCCCGGCAGCCAGAGCAGAGAGCCACCTTCCCGGAGGTTAATTGTGGGGGATGCATTGCATATGGCTGGGCCTGCCAAGCAAGGCTGCCATCGGTGGCAATCGGATCTCCCTCGCCATCTGCTAGAAATTCTGGGAATGTCAAATCAAATTAGACTAATGAGCCTGGCTGAACGGGTTTCCAGAACGGGCCCACCACCTCCCTGCCATTCATTGGGTGGGTGGGGGGGAACCCTTAGCTGAAGCCAAAAAGCCACCAGGAAGCCAAAATTCAGGTGCTTCTTTTGGGGAGCTGCCAAAGCAAAAGATCTTTGGGTCAGGAATCTGCTATGCAGGACGAAGGATGGGGAGCCTTTTCAGCTCTTTGGGATTATCTTGCCAACTGAGACGAGGTCTGCCCCATTCCTTTGGCCTTCCAGGAGGGCATTAAAGCCAGGCTCTGCCCTTCGTCTGGGGTCCTGGGGCCAGAAGTGGGTTTCAGCAGATTCTGACCAGTTCTGGAGAACCGGTAGCGGAAATTTTGAGTAGTTTGGAGAACCGGTAAATACCATCTCTGACTGGCCCCGCCCCCATCTATTCTCTGCCTCCCAAGTCCAGCTGATTGGGAGGAAATAGGGAGTTTGCAGTAACCTTCCCCTGGAGTGGGGAGGGAATGGAGATTTTACGGTATCCTTCCCCTGCCAGGTCCACCAAGCCACACCTACAGAACCGGTAGTATTTGAAATTTGAAACCCACCACTCCCTGGGGCCCTGATGGGTCCCTCTGTGTTGGATGTGGCCGGTGGATTAACAGAGAGGATGCAACCCCCGTACCAATCTTCTCTTTGGCTGTTTATCCTGGCAGTTAATGCTTCTTATTATTTTCTATTTATGGTTGTAAAGGTAAGCTGGCCAGAGTTGCCAGGCAGAGTGAGATGGGCAGCCTATCTCATTGAATATATAAATAAAAATAAGAAATAAATGGCAGCAGCTGGGGAAGGCAGCTCTGGGCAATCTTGACACTGAAGCATCTTCCTGCACCCGTGCCAGGAAGCAGTAATGATCCTTGGGCTCTCCAGATGTCTTTCTCGGCCCAAACGAGGCAGCCTTAAACGCTAGAAACCAGGAACTAACTCTTTAAAAATGCAATTACGATGTGGATGTGGAGAGAGGAAGGGAAGGAGGGAGGGAGGGGAGGTCTTTCTATTTTAGGAGATGATTGTCCCCCCCAGGTGAGCAGCTTCTCAGATGGAGGAAATGAGGAAGATGTTGAGCTTCGCTCAGGCCACAGATGCCACCCAACAGGCAGCATGAAAAGGGAAGCTGGTGAAGCTGGAAACTTTCCAGACTGGGCCAGCAGCTCCGTCCCATCTCCACCTTTCAGAAGATCTCAGAATCTCTCTCTCTTTTCCTGGGTCTTTTCTGCAGAAGAAACGTTTCGTCTCAGCCCCGATGTTTTCTTATTTACTACATTTCTTGGGTTGGGGATGGGGCGAGGGAATGCAATGATTTATTCTTCCCCACCCGATTTCTAACAGAGAACTGTCTTGGCAAAGTCAGACAAAGTGCTTTGGGTTTTTTTGTTTTTGTTTTCCTGGAAATAAAGTTATGTTCTTTGAAGTATATTAAAAAGAGAGAGAGAGAGAGAGAGAGAAAGATTAATCATTTAGACGGATTACTTCTACCTGCTGGCTGCAATCTTAGGAGATTCTGGTGGGAATAGATGAGGAATTGAGACAATGAACATGTCCGAATGTTGAGCCCATCTTTAAGATAGAGGTCGAGAGGGGCAGTTTGAAATCCATCTGATTTCAGAAGCAGGTAAAATTCCGGAAGAAAGGATTAAGCAATCCTTTGATGGACAGCAAGAAAATAATTCATTTATTTTGGGCAGCAGCAAATTATCAAGAATAAGGAATGTTTACCTCCCACCTCCCTCCACTGCCAGTAAAATCACCCAGTTGATAGATAAGGGGTTCATCAGGAACATAGTATAACTTGATTTCAAAAACCTAACACAGCTGCCAAAAGAACCTTCTTGTAAAGTGATCAGAAGAACTCAACTATGAGATGAGTGGGTAACAGATCAAGCCCCCCCACCCCCAAGAGAACCTCTAAAGCAAACCAAGAGCATTTTGGAATGAATGGATGAAGATGTGTGAAATAGATGGAAAGAACATTGAAACGATGTGCAAAAATGTGAAGGACACAAGGGAAGGATTTGGGTTGGAGCAACACAAGGGTTTAACAGAATGAGCCAACCCTCTGATGTGGCAGCTAAAAATGACCAATGCCATCTTAAACGGCAGCCTGTCCCAAAACTAGATAATGTTTTGATCAAATGAAGGCAACCCTACCTTCCGAGGGACCGGGATAAAAAAATAAGATTTCCATTTCCATTCTCCGCATGCTATTCCCAATTTATCCTGAAGCAAAAGACCGTTACCTCTATCTTCCTCCTTCTCATGAACACTCCTCCCCTTGAGTACTCGAGTCCACGTCTCCCCATAATCACCTCTGCTCCTCCCAGCTGCGTCCTTCGGAGGGTTCTTGAACCAAGTCCCGTACCTCCGGGCCAAGACCAGAGACTCCGGCATCGCTCTAAATTCCCGGCCAAGCGGCAGTGCCCCCAACTGAGCTTCGGTCCCTTCTGCAGCACCGTTGCTGGGCCGTGGGGCAGCCCCCGGGACCCTCGTCTCCCCACTGAAGCCAGCATGGAGGAAGACCAAACTGCCAGCCGTCAGGTAGAGCACGATCAAGGTGAAGAAACGGATGGGTTTCCGCCAAAAGTATCTTTGGAATTTCAGCAAGAGCTTGGCCATGTCAGCGTCATTACGGATTTTCACGGAGTCCGGGTGGAGAAACGAGCAAAGGGGCTGCCTGCCCACACTTGGAAAACACCCTTCTGAGCAGAGAGGAGGAACCTCTTCCTGCCGTCTAAGAGGCCATGGGTCTGATGCCACGAATCTGGTGCCACGGTTGGGTCCTCAGTGCCGTTCTCCCAATAAATCAGCCCAGCTTGGATACTCCTGTCCATGCATTGATTCAAAATGAGAAGGTTGCAGAGTTGCTCCAGATAAAGGACTTGTTCTTTGCACTAGTTCTTGGTCTTCTCCTGCCACGGAGCAGCCAAGGATGAAGTTATCATGGTCAACCTGGAGGTCAGGAGTTGCCGCTGCTGCTTTTAACCTGGCAAGTCCACCTGCCTTGGAAAGGAAGTTCACCAACGTTCACCAAAGCGGAGACGCATCCAAGGAGTTTTGAGGTATCCAATAATGTCCAGGAACACATCTGAACCAACTGCCATTCATTGTCACGGGGTGGGAAGAAAATTGAACCTAGAAATCAATGGAAAAGAGAATATTAGGACAAAAAAGACATTTCTCTTTGAGCTAAGCACTAAAGAGGATCTCTCCATCATGATTTTAAACCATGCTTGTCTCTGGAGGTGAGGAAGGGGACAGTTTTCCTACAGTTTCCGTTCTCTTTCCCAGTTTTTAGAAGAGTTAACATGATCAAGGAGGGATTCCAGATCCCGGCTGCTATTTCACAAAAGTCGGTCTCAAAGCAAGGGCTGAAAACAGGGTGGGAGGACCTTTATGACATCATCACACGGACACCTCTGATTGGCTACTGGAGCCAATCGCAAGGGTTTCTCTTGGTCCCACCCTCTCCAAAGGAGAGTTTCCCAACCTTAGCCACTTTAAGAAGTGTGGACTTCAACTCCCAGAATCCCCCAGCCAGTATGGCTGGCTGGGGGATTCTGGGAGTTGAAGTCTACACTTCTTAAAGTGGCCAAGGTTGAGAAACATTGCCCCATACCTCCCTCCCAGCCAAGGAAGGCTTCAGAAAGCAAGAACTTGTTCAGACAACATTGCCAATACTCCACTGCCCAATGACGTCACCATCACCCTGATCTCCACAATCTTCCTCAGGAACACCATGTTCCAAGGCAAAAAAAGCTGGGCTGATTCCTCCCCAATGACCCATCATCCTTGCCCTGGCTCATTTAAGGTACTAAAACCACCCTGGCCTACTTGAAGAGGCCCTTGTTCTCCTACCACCAGGTGGATGCTGTAAGGAGCCCAGGAGAGAGGCAAGATCTCCTAACAAGGATAAAATCTTGTCTCTCGCTTGCCGTGGCTGCACTGCAGGGTCCCCTTCTGCTCTCAGAGCTGAGTTAAGGTCTCCCCTGCAAGTGGAGGTGAAGAAAACTACCACCCAAAAACCAGGAACAAACGAAGAAGCAAATAAATGGGGAAGACTGAATGCCATTAGTTTAATGGACTCTAATGTTCCTACCATCTGTCTTGAGATGATTAAGTAAAAAATATCACTGGGGCAGACGGCGTGGAGTATAAATAAATGTTTTAATTCTGCTTCCTCGTATAACAATCCAAACACGACTTTGTCTCTGAAGCGTGAAGTTTATGGCAATCGACGGAAGGAGGTGGGGGGAGGGGGGAACCTTCTGTGGTTGCAGGGAAGAAAGCGATTTGAAAGAGAGAGAGAGACAAAAGGAAGCTTTTAAACAAGCCTTTTTAAAAATCTTTTCTTCTAATTTACAACCTTGAGTCCTTGGGAATCTCCGTTCCGCTTTGCAATTCCTTATTCCCTGTTTGTTGCACCGTTCAAAATCATCGTCTGCAGCCGTCTGGAGGGCGGGGGTCTGCAGGGAATTATTCTCCGCTAGCAAGAGTGAACTTTGAAAGCCTTGTTATCGCCTCATGCACGGTCAAAATCAAGATCTCTCAACCGTGCCATCCCTGTCAATCATTCCACCAGGCAAGGAGGCTACAGTAAGGAAGGCTGAATAGGAGGAATGGGAGAATTCCCAGCTGTCTGAACCCCTTCTGGGAGGGAGACGAGGGCTTTGTTTCTGGCGACACTGTTGAGTTTGCCATAGTTGTGAGACAGGAAGGGGGTGTCTCGGGGAAGCCCAGGACTGTAGCAAGAGAAACCCCACAAGCCTAAAGTGGGCGGAAATGGGAGAATGCATCGCTGAGCAATTCCCCCTTGTTTACACCTGGGATAAAACTGATCTTCAGAATCGCTTGGACGGGTTTTCAAGAGTGCGTCGTCTTGTGGAGAGACGAGTGATCCTTCTCCCTTGAGGATAACGTGGCTCAACAGGTAGGGCGGTGCTTGTCTCACTGCCTCCGTCGCAGTCGTTCTGAGCCTCGACTGGGGTCTCCGTACGGCTCGTGGCTGCTCTTAACCTGGTTTGGCTTCTCTCCACAGTGCCTCCAGCGGCCCGTGAGGAAAAGCCTGATTTAGAGCCATGGCAGGCAAGTCAATCGCTTTCTCTGCCTGCAGGACCACCCACGCACCCACCCGCCGCAAAGGCGAATGGCTGCTCAGCTGCAGACTTGGCCACCTTCTGCAGGCCAAAGCATCAAAGGACCATCCTTTCCCCTCCTTTCAGCTCAGGAAGGAGCTAAAGAGAGCCAGGCAAACCCTTCGCGTCAAGCAGGCAGTTAAGCAGGAACAGCGAGGTTGTGGGTGCAAATTCAGCCCCAACTGGCTAAAGGCTCTTAGGAAGCAGGAAGGAGAGAGAGACAGAATTCTGGATTCTGCATTCAATTCAGAGAATATACAGGCAGCCCTTGACTTACAGCAGGTCATTTACCGTCCACTCGAGGTTACAACGGCACTGAAACAGGTGACTTAGGACCATTTTTCACACTTACGACCGTTGCAGCTTCCTTGTGGCCAGGCGATCAAATTCAAGACGCATGGACAACGGATTCGTATTTATGACGGTTGCATTTTTATGGACTTTCTGACAAGCCAGATTCACTTAACAAGCAGGTTACAACTGCAGTGATTCACTTAACAGCCGTGGCAAGAAAGGTTGTAAAATGGGGCAAAGCTCACTTCACTGCCTCGCTTAACGGCAGAAATGTTGGGCTCAATGATGGTCGTAAATCGAGGACCCCTTGTATAAGGTTTCGTAATGAAGGCCCTAAGAAGCTGGAGAGATTCCCAGGGAGTGATTTACGTGAGGCCTGGAAGCCATCCGGCCAGCTCAGGCGGGAGCTGCAGGAGCGAAATCCAGCACAGGCTGAAGGAGAAGCGGGGCAAGCCAGTTCCCCAGCATTTGGGGCAATGGGCTATTCAGTGCATTGCTGGAAGAAAAGTGAAACACTTCTCTTGCCTTCTGTTATTCTTGCTTTGAACAGTGATGCCGACCTCTCAACCTGGGGGTTGCCTCTTAGTAGCAGAGAGGAAAAATTAAAACAATAATCCAGGGAAACGTACACACGCCTGGCCCTTTCCTAAGGCCCTCGACTTCAGCGGGCTTTAATGGGTCAGTTTTGTAAAGTCACAATAAGCTGACAAGGAAACACAAGGGACACTAAATTATTCAGTTCCCTCAATTGCTCTGTTACCAGCGAACAGTAGAACAAGCTTGGCCTTCTCTTCCGAGCGGTGGTGGCTGGGTTGGTTTTTTTTTTTTGCAAAGTGTGCCCAAGTGCTACCCAACGTCTGTGGAAACCCCAGACAAGAGAAAGAAAAGAAGAGAACCACAACTGAGCAAAGACAATGTCTCTATTGTGGCTAGAGTTCCCAGCCAAGGAGGAGGAGGAGGAGGAGGAGGAGGAGGGGTTGGAAAGTTACTGCAAGGATGGAAAACCACCTGCCAATCGCCCAAAGCTGATGCCCCTCCCCATTCAGCTGAAGGATGGCATTCATTCTCTCCCACCCCCCCGCTTCCTCTGGCCCAGGCTGGCATTCCTGCATATTCAGCCTCTTCAAACGTGGGCAGGGAGCGCCTTTCTCACTGAGAGAAAGCTGAGCTTTTCAGAAGGGCTGGGCAGCGTCCCGAGAAGAATCTGCAGAGCCTGAGAAAAGTTACGAGTTCAGGAAAGGCCGGGAAGACGAGACAAGCCAAGAAAAGATGATTGAGAAGAACTCAACCCAGAATGGAGCTAGGGCACCGCCATGGATGCGCCTGACGGCAAAGCTCGAGAGTGGGGACATGCCCTAAGATTGTCGGTTTGCTATTCCCCTGGTTTACTAGGATTTATTTTTTCCCCCTCTATATCTAAGTTTTCTTCTTACGTGAAATTGCAACCAGTAGAAGACTGTTAAGATTGGGTTGCAAAGAGCAGTCCAGAGTCTGGTGAACTGCTGGCTGGGGCTACAGGTCAGGTCATCCCAGGAGGGAGGGAGCCAGCCAAGGACACGATTCTTAGGGTTGGAGGACTGCCCTCCCAAAGCCTAGGAGATCTTGTTGCCCCCCCAGAAGCCAAAAGGCCAGCTGGAGGACCAGGAGACCCTGCAGAAGGTTGCAATCAAAGAGGGCCGGGCTTCTCCATCTTCTGCACCCCCATCGCCCAGCGACTTGCCCCGCCTGGTTCACCCCAAAGACAGGAATTCTCTCTTGAAAGCCAACATTTGAACAGAGCAGGATGGGGACAGTTAGTGAAGAGGCAAAGCATTGGGGACCAAAGTTTGGAAATCAAAGAGAGACGTTTGAGAATAGAGAGAAAGACCTGGAGACGGGCAGAACTTCCTTCATTCAAGGGGCTGATCTCCCCCTGAGGCTGGGGGGGGGAGGGGGAAGCCTGTCCTGGGGTTTCTTGGGGAGGTGCCTGTCTCAGGTGGTAATAGGAGGCCCCCGACAGTCCAAGAAAGCCACATTCTTCCCTTTGTAAGGTGATATATCAGCAGCCCTGAACAACCAACAAAAGGAATTGTGCTTCAAGGGCAAGACCAGGCTAAGTGGCCAGCTCAGCTTTGGTTCACCAACTGAAGGAGGAACTTTCTCTACCTCCGGTCATATAGTCTACCTTTAGACCAGGTAGGTGGAGTCTGGAGGCTCCAAGAAGATGGCAGCCCTGCCAGATACTCTCAGCACTCCAAAAAGCATCCACAAGACAGGTGGTGGGTGACTTTGGTTACGCAATCAGGATCCGCTCTCATTAGAAAACTATGGATTTTGCATTTTAAGTACCCTTTAATCCTAGGCAACCCCTTTCCACAACCTGGTGCCTTCCAGATTACTGGATGCGACTCCCATAATCCCAGGCAATTTATAGAGGGCACGGGTTCATTCCCTTCCCTGGCTCAATGGAGAGCCCCCGTGCCAGCCTTGCCAACTTAACACTTTGGGGTTTCCTGGTTTGGCTGATCTTTTCCATAAGCTCTGGCCAAACTTGGGTTTCTCTCGGGGAAGTGGGGGGGGGCTCTAAATGATGGAGAACAGGCCACTGTGGGAGGGGGTGTTGCACGGTTAAACCACAAGACCGCTTCTGCTTCCTCCATTAATAGGAAACCCTGAGCTTGGGGAGGGTGGGGAAACCGCACACCCCTCCAAGAAAAGGGGGAAGTG